GAGGGATGCCACCCCAGACCCCTGATAGCCCCCCCTTCCGATAGTCCGGCTCTCCCCCGGGCGTCCCTGATTCAGCCGCTGCGGGTCAGTTTCAGCAGCGGCTGAATCAGGACGCCTGGGGCAGAGCAGATGGGGTGCTGCTAGGTTGGTCCAGTAGCACCCAGGAGCGGCGCTACTGGAGCAACCCAGCAGCACCCCAGCTGCTCTGCCCCAGGCGTCCCCAAGTCAGCTTCTGCTGAAACTGACCAGCGCTGACTACAGGAAGCCCCAGGCAGAGTTGCTCTGCCCCGGGCTTCCTGGAATCAGCTGCTGATCAGTTTCAGCAGCAGCTGACTTGGGGACGCCTGGGGTTCTTAAGTTGATTCTGTATGTCAGTCAGAACTGGCGGTCAGTTTCAGCAGTGTCTGAATCTGGACGCCAGTTCCGACTTACATACAGATTCAACTTAAGAACAAACCTACAGTCCCTATCTTGTACGTAACCCGGGGACTGCCTGTAGTACATTTATCAGAATATTGGGATAAGCATGGATGTATTTTATTTACCTATATAGCCAGGTGGTTAAAAATTGAGTTGTGTCCTGACAGCATTGGCAGGGCTGCATCTGGACCATTGGTTCCAGATACTGCGGAGGTAAAGGATTAACCTACGTTTTTAAACCTTTCCTCCTATGGGCATGTCTTTACTCACTATGGAGATTGATCTCTTGGGGTTTGATTTAGCGGGTCTAATAAGGACCCACTAAATTGAGTCCAGTATTCCATTGACTCCAGTACTCCACCAGGTTTGAGGACTAAGGGACGTTGATGGAGAATTTTTTCCATCCGACCTCCCAAAGTATAGTAGCCACGGATACGCTACTCACATAGCTGGAGTTGCGTATTTTAGGTCGACTTTCTCCCTTAGTGTAGACCTGGCCTATGTATATATCTTGTATACTGCACTGTAGCTTTTCTAAACAGCAACATGATGATCATCAATATGTAGTTAAAAGAGTTAAACCCAGAGATAAATTGCATGCTTTGGGGACAGGGGAGAGCAGGGCTATGCGGAGAAATACCACCTCAGTGGGAGTTCCAAGTGACATTGTGCTATTGTACATTACAGCTTTGTGATATTCAGTGGGAGCATGTGTATTGGTGCTTTCCTCAACTGCTAGTCAGCTCTGTAGCCTAGTGGAGGCAGTGAGACTAGCCATTACCCTGCCTCCTCCTGTTCCTTCTTGCCCCTTGGGGTGAGCAAATGTGACTAGAAGAGAGGAGTAAAGAGCAAGGAATTGAGCAAGTACCCAGTTCCCATTTTCTGCCAGAGTGGTGAAAAGGGGACTTCATGTAAATGGGAATCAGGCTTTAAGAGTTTGAGACAATGAATCCATGTCCTTAAATCCATCTATAAACACTTTTAAAACAGAATAGAATAAAGCATCCTATCAGATTTGCTTCTATTCTTGCAGTGGATGATGTCTATGTTATTAATATGTTGATCATTTTAAAACTCCAGTTACTTAGCAGTGGAAACAGATACCTAATACGTACGGATGATATGATAGAAACAGTTTACAGCGAGAAAGGAGAAATTGTCAAAACCAAAGAACGACGACTCTTCATGCTGAATGATGTATTGATGTGTGCAACAGTGAGCTCACGGTAAGGCTCACTTCACACTGTTTGAACTTATCACTTGGAAACTTGACCAAAGGATGAATGGACTTTAACCATAGATACTAGTTTCTATACATTGCAATTGTAAATGTGCCAGTACTTTTGTTATAATTCTTATCTCCTGATTGCATTAGAAAGAACTAAGATAACCCCTAGAAAAAAGTACACAGATAGAATCAATACATTCAGTTATTGGTGCGAGTTGGCCTGTAGTGAAGATTTGATGACAGAGTGTCTTAGTGCACTAACTCCTCTACTCTGAAAATCTGAGCCTTGATCTTGACTTAGTCCTGATCTACACTACCATGGTCCATCAGTCTAAGTCACGCAGCATCAGGTATGTGAATAATGTAGCTTATGTCAATGTACTTAGATCTACTTACCTCAGTGTCTTCACTATAGAGAGTTGATGGCAGACACTCTCTCATCAAGTCTGCCTCTGCTTCTTGTTCTGGTGAAGTAACAGAGTTGACAGGAGAACGCTCAACGATTAATTTGTCGCACCTGTACTAGATGCAATAAATTGATCCCCGCTGGATTGATTACTGCTTGTTGATCTGGCGGGTAGTGCAGACATGCCTTTAGATCGGGATGAGTAATCATTTTTGATGGCGGGGGGCAGGGCGGCAGTCCAAGAATTTGGTACGTGGTCAAGGGCTGCATTCTTCCATGATATTAATGGAGGAGGTGTGGGGTCTGAAATGGAGGTTGGGTGCAGAAGGGAGCTTGGGGTAAGGAACTGGGGAGCATTATGGGTGTGGGATCTGGCAGGGAGTTTGGATGTAGGAGGGGGTTGTGATCTGGTGCAAGAGTCTGTGGTGCAGGAGGGGGTGCAAGATCTGGAAGGGGATATGAGTGCAGGAGAGAATCCTGACCTGGAGCGGGGGTATAGGAGGGAGTGCAGGGTCTGGGAGGGGATTGTGATCTGCGGAAAGGGTACAGGGAGGGTGCATGAGTTTGGGCTGTGAGTTGGGGTAGAGGGTCTGGGAGAGGGTGTGAATGAAGGAGAGGATTCGGACGTGGAGAACAGGTGCAAGAGGGAGTGCAGGGTCTGGGAGGGGGGATAGGTGCAGGAACAGGGATGCAGAGGGTTTGGGATCCGTGGGGTAGAAGTGCCGAAGTGGGACAGAGTTTTGGGTTATGTCTGGTAGAGGTTCAGTGGGACAGAGAGTTGGGGGAAGGAGAAACTGGGATGCCAGAGGCAGGCTGAGGCTTGGAGGTGCTTCCCTGGGCAGCTCCCAGCTAGCATCCCAGCAGGTCTCTCAGCCGCGTTCCCTGCCTGTCCTGTCCCCCACATGTGCTCAGAGCAGCCATCTGCAGGGGCCATGTGTGCTGCTCTGAACACTGCAGGCCTGTGGGGGAAGAGGAAAGAGGTACTTCAAACTGGCAGCTTCCATTGGTCAGAATCGGCCAATGGGAACTAGAAGATTGTGCTGGGAGTGGGGGCTGTGAGAGAAGTGGGTATATGGGGAACCTGGCTGATGCGCCCACTGGGCCACATGCTGGATCCGACAGCTTGGCCCACATTCTGTATTTTGCCTGTCCCTGCTTTAAGTGATGGGTGAAAGTGAGTTTATATGAGCTCAGTCTGGTGTTGATTCCCTATGTGCATTTGTGCGCGCACACAACTATAATTTGGGTTTACGGCTTAAAAATTTAAAAAATTGAAAGAAATGTTGCATCATTGGAGTCAATAACAAGGCTCCCATTAACATGATCTGTGCCACATTTTTACCACTGAAGCCTAAAACTGAAGGTTTAAAATTGTGATGCTTAGAAAAAGATATCATTTGCATAGTGCTTTATATTTTGTTGCTGGATATAACATGTACTTAGCCTATCAATTTCACGTGTGCAAAGGTCTCACACATTTTAATATATTGGTTGTATTGTAATTTTTTCCCTTTTTGTATGGGTGTATGCTGACAGAGAATATACAGACGGACCCTTTCTTTCTTTCTGTCTTTCTGTCTTTCTTTCTAAAATGTGAATACAGGCAGTCCCCGGGTTGCGTACAAGATAGGGACTGTAGGTTTGTTCTTAAGTTGAATCTGTATGTAAGTCGGAACTGGCGTCCAGATTCAGCCGCTGCTGAAACTGATCGCCAGTTCTGACTTACATACAGATTCAACTTAAAAACCCCAAGTCAGCCCAAGTCAGCTGCTGCTGAAACTGATGAGCGCTGATTCCAGGAAGCCTGGGGCAGAGCAACTCTGCCTCGGGCT